CGGAAGAAGGAGAATCGCCTTGTTCTTAGTATTTGCTCTCCAGATGTGAATTTAGTGTCCATTTCCCTTTCAAAAAATCAACCAACAAAAACACAACACAACACAACAAAACAAAAACCACAGTCTTTAAATCTTTTACATAAATATTATCTCTTTCTCTTGCAATAGCCATAAAGGAAACACCTGAATTAAAGCTCCATGAAGTAGTTTGTCCTAAAAAACTACACATTTTACGTAAAAGAGAGATCGAGAACAACCAGACAGAGAAATATGGCAAAGAGGTAAGCAGGGTGAACGACTGTAGTAAATTTTTCACTTATGTGAAGAGACATTAAAGAGCCTTTTCACTAATGAAATTGATGTTAGTCAGCATCTAATAGTTCCATCTTGAAGCCCATGTCCATCAGCCCCGCTTTGTACAGGAGACAGCTCAGGGCTTCTGAGAGAGGTTTTATAGTTAAGCAGCAGGGAGCTAACTGCCTCACTTGATAAGAAAGAATAACGCTGCTTGGAAATTTCTCCAAATTTTTGTGGGGTGGGGGAGGGGGTGACCCAGGAAGGACAGTCATTTCTAGAAGAACATGTTCCTTACCAGTCTCACCAAACCCATTTTTCCCCACCCCTACCCCTTTTCCTTGGTGAATTGCCTTTTTCTCAGCCCTTTTATCAATAAGAGAGTTCAACGTTATCTCAGTAATTAACAAGTTTTTTTTTATTTGTTATGGATATTAACACCGTGACTTACATTGCTGCAAATATTCCCTCATTTTGTAAATTTTAACTTATTTAGTTCTTACAAGATTTTTGGTTGATGTTCTTTAGTATATTTAGTTTGGTTTTAAAGTAAGAAAAATACATGCTTTATTATACCTTGGTGATCCATTATGGTCCACAGGGCAGTATATGGCACATTAGGGCAAACAATAAGCCACATATTAGAGTTAGTTTAATCTGTAAGTGTTATTACCATCTAGTTATATACATTTTGGAAGTCCATCTTAATGCACAATTTATGTTTTTAAAAGCATAAGAGAACTGCTTTTATCCTCTATGCATTTTAATTGTTCTTCTAATACATACTATATTATCTTTATATTATAATTATTTTAGATAGGCTCAGAAATATAAATTATCTGATGTAATTACACCAATAAATATTTTCAGGAAAAATATGAATCTGAAGTTCAGTATCAGATTACATTAAATGGAGAAGAAGTCATTCTTCATCTACAAAAAACCAAGTAAGTTGTACTTCCTGAAAGTCTAATCACTGGAATAAATTAAGAGAATGTGGGGAAAAAATCTTCTTGAGGCTCCATTTAATGTGGTTTGAGATAGAAGACATAAGGCATATTGAATTTCAAATGATGTTCATTTGTGCTAATGTTATCTAAGAAGGTTGATGTTTTCCTAGGAAATTATATGCAAAGTGTAAAACAAGAAGAGCTACACATATAAATGACTTTCTTCTTTGACCTTCTGGGAAGCTACTGAACATTTTTTCTACCCCGATAAAATCAAACCTTTGATGAAGTTTTCCATTACTTTTATAAGAACATAATGTCCAATGCTTATTCAGCGTGCATAGCCTTGAGATAGATTCCAGGAGATGGGGATCCCCCCAGTTCTGTGGTAGTTAGTAAATTTCTCCCTGAGTGCAATGGTGCTTCATACATATTTGTGCAACTGAGCACACTTCAGAGATTCCATAGAGGTTGCATCCTTGGTGCAAAGAATCACAAAATAGCCCATTTAAAGACAGAGAATCAGCAGCTGAAGAGTAGTGACGGGGATTTCTTCCCTCATATCTAATGGGTCAGAGTGGTAGCTATTTTTCATTGTAGACGTGTTTACTCCTTTAGTGCTGAAGATCATACTAGGAAAATCAGCTTTTATTACTACCCTGAATTAATCATGCAGCTTTCTGCTCTCGGCAGGCATCTCCTGGGTCCAGACTACAGTGAAACCTATTACTTACCTGGAGGAGAGGAAATTACCAGAAACCTTCAGAACATGGTATGGTATGAATGCTTTCTGGGACTCTTTATGGGATCTGTCACTTGCTTTATAAAACTCACAGGTCCAAGGGCCACTCAAAGAAAAGA